TTAATAGATTGAGGAACAGTGCTTTCTTAAGCGGACCTTTTTAGTATAGTGTTTATTATTCCTTTTAGTTCTTAATCAGTGCAGGGGCTGGAGCACTTATGATTTGAAACATAGTATGACTAATACAGTTTCAGAATGCTATACATAGATTTGAGGTAAAAATAGATTCAAATTTGATGGTGGGGAGCTCAGCAGTAAATAAAAGGGTAGGATATGTAGAAGTATAGATTTAGAATTTTGGTCTTAATATGAGCAGATAAATTTGGTTGACTGGCTCTTCTCAGATAAGCCCTTTAGTAGGATAAAAACTTATTAAGAAAAGAAGAAGGGAATGTGTTCAGCTCTGGTGATTTATCACATTCGATTTCCTCTATATTCTAGAAAGTTCTATTCTTTTGTTTGTGGATGTTGTTGTTGTTAAGTGCCGTGGAGTCGGTTCCGACTCATAGCGACCCTACACAGGGTTTCTGAGGCTGTAAATATTTACGGGAGCAGACCGCCTCATCTTTCTTCCGCGGAACCACTGGTAGTTTTGAACTGGTGACCTTGCGGCTCACAGCCCGATTCGTAACCACTACGCTACCAGAGCTCCTTTGTTTGTGGATGTTGTTGTTAAGTGCCGTTGAGTCGGTTCCGACCCATAGCGACCCTGTACAGGGTTTCCGAGGGTGTAAATCCTTACGGGAGTAGAAAGTCTCATCTTTCTCCCGCGGAGCGGCTGGTAGTTTCGAACCGCTGACCTTAAGGTTCGCAGCCCGATTCGTAACCACTACGCTACCAGAGCTCCTTTTAGCATGTAGTAAAAACTTCAGGTAATTACCAGGTTGAGTTTTGCAATATGAATGTGTTAGCTGGTGGTTTCCCTTAATTCTAAAACTAGAGTGACTGGATTTCTAGTTCCAAATGGGTTCTGGCCAAAGTTTTCACCACATGCTTCCTGCTTAGTAATCGACAGGGTTATTTTCTGAGATATTCAGTTTATAAGTGAATTAATTTCTATTCTCTTAGCAACTTGATATTTACAAAGAATATAATTTTGTACTCCAAATCTCTTTATTTCTTTAGTAAGTCTGTTTTATGCGACTAAAATTAAGAAAACAACGGCTTTATCTTTGCCAGACATGTCAAAACATTGTGGAGACTTGTTTGAGGTTATCTGGATATCTCCAAGACCCTTTTTGATCCTTGGATTTTGTTCTTTATTAGATAGTATAAAAACTACATACCTTTATATATGCCAATCCAAAATAGAACAGATGTGGAAAAAAAAGGTTAGAACAGAAGAAAATATCAGAATATAGAATACAGAGTATTAAAATTTCATTCAATTCAATCTTCATAAAAAATTTTAACCAATTTTTACGTAAGTGCATATAATATGTTAATTTCAGATAAGAATTTTAAATAATTCTCTGTCTGGCATATCCTTAGAGAGATCATAGCTTTATCTGACATATTTTATTGTTAGGATCAAATAAGGAATGAAAAAATATAACATTAATAGGATTAAATTAGTTTGAAATTTAATGACTATTTGTTAGAATGATAACAAGGTTCAGTGGCCTAAGGCAGTACTTCCAAAATTTTAATGTATTCATAAATCAACTAGCAATCTTGTTTTAGGAGATGCCCATGATACTTGTTTCAGGCCAAGCTTTGTGTTGCAAGAATCTGAGGTATCAAAATGGTTAAAAAATTTAATAAAACAGATTTCGTTTTAAATATGACCCAATAGCATGGGACTTGAGAACCCTGAAACTTGAACTTTGTAGTTGAGGAATTAAGTAAAAACATTTTTGGTAGGAAAAAATAGTAAGCCAATCTTTTTATATACATCTACATTTTGATATTTTAATCACTGAAATGGTGAAGAAATAAAATAAACCACCATTATAAGGTGGTATTATGTAATGATACTGGAATACATACACTTTATAACTATTTCTGGGTACTACTACTGCTACTATTACAAGATTTACTTCATCTAAATTAGCCTCTCTCAAGAAAGTATATCACGAGGTAGAGATTTTGTTCTTTTTCAGATGCCTGTTATTAGAATTAGAATCATTTAAGAGGTTTAGATTTGAATTTTTTAAGAGGTTTAATTAACATTGCATTTTAAAAGGTAAAGATAAATTGTTTTTTGTGTGATTATAATATAACTCTTTGATAATATATATAGTTTGTAAATGCAATTGAAGTATGCATTTAAAAATATTTGCATTAAAGCTTATAAGTAAAGTTTATGTTTAAAATTGATTATTATTTATGTAGGTATTTAATATTTAAAAATCAGTAACCTTGAAATTTGAGATGTTCAGTTATGAAAGTAAATAGATTGTCTTTAATCTTTTCAGTTTGACCTTTTGAAACATCTTTCAAAGCTTAACATGAAACTTTTGTAACCGAAAGTAAGAAGTCTACAGGAAATTCAGTGTTTATGCTTCAAGTGACACCAATTATTCTTCTTCCCACATCACTCTCTATTCAACTGGATTGAATAATTCATTGCAGTGGCCACTCAGAAATCGGGCAGCATGCTCGTAGTTATGAAGTTTATTAGCGAAGTTAGCAGCTTACATTCCAGGGTCAGAATTTTCAGGGCACAGTTGTTATAGGACAGTCTCTCTTAGTTGTGCCCACAGGCAGACCTCTCTCTGCATAGCCAATGTTACAAAGCTTTTTTTAGGGCTGCTGATAAATGCACACAGGACATATCACTCCACCATAAGCCTAGGCTTGAAGGCACAGACTCTAGCTCTATGCATCAGCAAACCTAGTTTCCCCAGTTATAGGCTTGAAGGCACCCCTCTCAGCAAGCCTCCTTCCCAAGGTTATTCAGCTTTATTTGCTCCATGGGCTGGGAAGCCCACTGCTCTGTCTGTGCTTTGGCTCTTAGTTCTGCTGAGCTGCTCCTCCGCTGCTCCTCTTTTGTCACAGCTTTCTGTTCCTGGCTCAAAGAGGTTCTGTGCGCCGGGATCTCAGAGGTCCAGTGGATACACTCCACTCCTGGCTGTTCATCTTTGATGGAAGTGAGATGATTCATTTTGTATACATAAGAGTTCAAGGTTTTTACAATTACAGTTAACTAACTCTGTTAAACATTCATAACTGAATCATATAATTCTGTCAGTATCTTCTACCACCTTCTCTTAGCCAGACCTAAGGGCAAAAACATTTTTTGAAGGGACATACTAATTCAAATTCAAGATTTTAGCCAAAGAGTGTTACATGTCAGGTTCTTCAAAGAATACTAAAACAGTAAAAGGTTACTATTAAAAATGTGTCTTTAAAGTTATAATCAGTATCTTCTACTTATAATTCACTTGATTGTGGGGAACTCTCTAGAAAAGATAATCATCTAGGCCTAGTTTTATGTGTCATGAAGGCTTAAACATTTGTTAGTTAAATTTTTTTAAAAACATGCCATATCCAGTTCTGGTGTGGCTCTGTGGATTAATGCGCTGGACTGCAAAATTAGTTTCAGCCACAAGGTTGGTGGTTCATGCTCACCAACCACTCCTCATAAACCCTATATGGGTTGCTATGGGTTGGAACTGACTCAATGGCACTTAACAACAACAACAACAACAAAAATAACACTTTCTCATTTCATTTGTTAGGCCAGGAATAAATAGAGAAATCAGTTTTCTTAAAGCTTCTTTCTTTGTTTCTTCTTGTTTTAATGTGATGTATAATATTTGCTTTGTGTTTTGTAGTTCTTCATAACTTTTCCACTGTTAGATTCTTCTAATTGATATTGATTTGAAGTAGAGGGGTAGAATGGAGCTTATACTAGAAAAGGGAGGCTTTTATGACTAAAGTGGGGAGATGGGTATTGTGAATTTTTGCATCACAGCAATTATTAACCTCTTTTTCTAACCATCCTGTACCTCATTTGAAGTTAGATAGCAGAGTATCTTGTGAAAGCTAAATAGAAGAGGAGCAGAGAAATTGGAGAGTTGAAATGTTAATAGTGCTTTCATTCCGCTTGATGGGAGAGACTTTTATAAACACCATTAAACTATGCATAAAAGAGTTTATCCAAATGAATGAATCAGGTTACTTTTCAGTTTTCCTCCCATTTTTGTCAAGCTTCCACACTAGAAAACCTTACTCATCTCTCCCAAATCTCTCTTTGTATACAATAGTATACAAAGATCTACGGAAGTTCTAAGAAGGGAAGGGTGGGGCTATATTTGTCTTCCTGGTTTCTTAAATGTAACTATTTGCTTTAGAGGCTTTCCCCCCCATTTTCTTCTATCTTTAGAAAACTTCCTTTTTCCTTGTTATTTTATAGCTCCATATCTATTGACTAGGGAAGCTTGGCTTTGCTCTGTTTTGTGTGCCAGTGCAACAAAAAAAATTTTTGATGCCACATATCCTTTTGTTGTCAAGGGATTTTGCCTGAAATCATTTTAGTAAGAGTGAATGAAAAAGCAGTCTACCTTTCTACCTTCCAGTGTTTTGGGAGAAAATGAAAAATAATTGGTACAGTTTCTGTAATATAGATGTTATGTGAATTCAAGATTATGATTTTAATAACCAAGATGTAATATCCCATTTGAGACGGTCTTTTCTAGGCACAGGGTAAGAGTCTGATCTTGACAGCCCTGCCACTTATCAGATGTATGGTGTTAAATTATATAATAAACGGTCTGTGCTTAAATTTTCTCTTTTTAAAAAGAAATGACAATAGCACCTATCTGGGTTGTTGTGAGACCTAAGTGAATTAATGTATGTTAAAACATATAGAACGGTTCCTGGAACATATTAATTGTCATGTAAGTGCTATTAACAATATCAGTATCTTAGTAAATGTTAGTAAAATAAATTATGCAATTTATTAATATTGGCTATACTTGGATTAAAAAGTTATAGCTTTATACTTTTGTTTTAGGTATATTAACTATTACCTTTTTCTCATTATTTTGTTTACGTTTTTGAAGGTTTCCCAATGAGTGGATCATGATGACCGTATAGTAGGGACTTGCCATAGTATGGCTGCTTCCCGATCTACTCGTGTTACAAGATCAACAGTGGGGTTAAACGGCTTGGATGAATCTTTTTGTGGTAGAACTTTAAGGAATCGTAGCATTGCTCACCCTGAAGAAATTTCCTCTCATTCTCAAGTACGATCAAGATCACCAAAGAAGAGACCAGAGCCTGTGCAAATTCAGAAAGGAAATAATAATGGAAGAACCTCTGATTTAAAACAGCAAAGTACTCGAGAATCATGGGTAAGCCCTAGGAAAAGAGGACTTTCTTCTTCAGAAAAGGATAACATAGAAAGGCAGGCTGTAGAAAATTGTGAGCGAAGGCAAACAGAACCTGTTTCTCCAGTTTTAAAAAGAATTAAGCGTTGTCTTAGATCCGAAGCACCAAACAGTTCAGAAGAAGATTCACCTGTAAAATCAGAAAAGGAGTCAGTAGAACAGAGGAGCACAGTAGTGGACAATGATGCAGATTTTCAAGGGACTAAAAGAGCTTGTCGATGTCTTATACTGGATGATTGTGAGAAAAGGGAAATTAAAAAGGTGAATATAAGTGAGGAAGGGCCACTTAAATCTGCAGTTGTTGAAGAAATCACAGGCTATTTGGCTGTCAATGGTGTTGATGACAGTGATTCAGCTGTTATAAACTGCGATGACTGTCAGCCTGATGGGAACACGAAACAAAATAGCCCTGGTTCCTATATGTTGCAGGAAAAATCAGTAGCTGAAAATGGGGATTCGGATACCCAAACTTCAGTGTTCCTGGATAGGAAGGAGGACAGTTGTATAGACCATAACGTGCCTTGCACAAATTCAGAAGTGCAGGTCAAGTTGGAGGACCACAAAATAGTAACTGCTTGCCTGCCTGTGGAACATGTTAATCAGCTGACTACTGAGTCAGCTACAGGGCCACTTTCTGAAGTTCAGTCTTCTTTAAGGGATTCTGAGGAAGAAGTAGATGTGGTGGGAGATAGCAGTGCCTCGAAAGAACGATGCATTGAAAACACCAATAACAACGTGGACACAAGTCTTGAGAGTATGCCAGTGTCTGGAGAATCAGAACCATCTTCTGTACTAGACTGTGTTTCAGCTCAAATGATGTCTTTATCTGAACCTCAAGAACATCGATACACACTGAGAACTTCACCACGAAGGGCAGCCCCTGCCAGAGGTGGTAGTCCCAGTAAAAATAATTCTCCTTGCAGAGAAAATGGACAAGTTGAGGAGAATATTCTTAGTACCAATGAAACAAATGCTGCAATTAGTGATAATATAAGTGAATCTCACACAAATCCTGATGAAATTTCCCAGAATGAAAAGGGGATATGTTGTGACTCTGAAAATTATGAAAGTGAAGGACTAAGTAAGCCACCCTCAGAAGCAAGACTCAATATTGGACATTTGTCATCTGCCAAAGAGAGTGCCAATCAGCACATTACAGAAGAGGAAGATGATGATCCTGATGTTTATTACTTTGAATCAGATCATGTGGCACTGAAACACAACAAAGAGTATGTGTAAATATGGTAACCATGAATTCTGCTTTGTTTATTTCCCCACATTTTCTGTATCTATTCATAGCATTTTTATTACAGCTAAAATTAAGGCTTTAGCTAAAATTTTAGGTTTAACATAATGATTTTCCCAACTCTTAAAAAACAACTGCAAAAAAGAAAAGCTTTAAAACTCTCCTTTATTTCTCTTCTGTATAGTAATATGGTTTTTCGAGTTCTGGCATTTCAAATGTCAGAATAGAAATGTTATGCAGAAACATAGTTAATGATACTTTTGTTTTAAAATAAGTTTTATAGAAATCTACTTTTATCTTATTTCCCAATTAAAAATTTTTTTAAAAAATGTTCTTTATGCATTATCTATGACATTTGTAACATTTGCTTAAGAGAAGTAGATATCATTGTTAATGTGATGACAGCTGTGTGTTGTAGTTAGCATATTAACAATAGTCTATTTATATAATTTTCATAAAGCATTTGCTATAGCATTTCCTGATACTGAATAGAAGAGGAGACAAAATGCTTCCAGTTCGCAATCTTTGCCATAAAGGCACTTTAAATAAAGAATTCTGTATTGGAATTTTTCACAGTTTTGTTTAGATTTTCTTTAAAGTAGTACCGATAGTAACATAAATGAACTGGAGCTAACTATGGAGCTTAATAATCCTTGAACCCTGTAACAAGTAGTGCTCATTATAAATATCATGATCAGCAACAGTAGGAGGCAAGCTAAGATAGATGGCCACCTTTATTATTTATTACTCTTCCAGAGAATGTTTTTGAATTAGTATCACAACCAATTATATAAACTATATAAATAAAAATGCTCTGATTTGAAAAATCATTGTATTTTTGTTTTGGCAACTGTCAGATCTTTGTTGGTATCAATTCAGTGTGTCAGATCTTGTTTGTGGAACATAATATTCTTCTTGCCATGTGTTGTAGCTGGATCAAATTTGCATGTGACAAAAAGGTAGCTTTTTAGTATAGGTCTGTGTCTAAAATTGGGTTTGGTGGATCATTTTATCTTTTAAGATATCAAAACAATTCTTAGATGCTTTAAAAGTAGAAGTAACTTAAGTTCTACTAAATATGTAATAACAGTGTTTTAAAGTGGCTGTTGCTGGTAGTTATATGCGTTGTAGTTGGTCCCGACTCATAGCGGCTTTGTATAGGGTTTCTGAGGCTGTTAATCTTTATGGGAGCAGAACAGCTGGTTGTTTCAAACTGCTAACCATGAGATTAGCAACCCGACTCGTAACCGCTACACTAACAGAGCTCCTTTTTTTTTTTAAAGTAGAATTTGTCATCTGCAGGCTTAAAAGCAGATGATATGTATTGAGGAAATTCCAAAAACTAAAGAAATGTGATTTTTTACAAAATTATTAATTTATTTGCTTTTTATTGTGTGTATTTGTGTTTTAATGTTCTTAATGCTTGGGTAGCTATTATTATTAATGGAAAGTATTATTCCATTATAGGTTGCTTTTTTGTGAGTGCTCTCCTGATGTTGATTCTGAAAGGATGATATTGGAATAAAGCAATTACCTAGAGATAGTAACCATTAACATATAAAGGTTGATATTTTAATAACCCTTTAGTCATGAGCACAATATAGTGTCTTTCCCAAGGACATACAGAGTATTTGGGGATTTGAATGCTAGTTGCTTTGTTTGGACAGTAATTGAGTGACTGGACAAAATAATTCTATTTTGCCCTGCTCCAGTTTATTTTTGAAGATAGCATTTTATGGTAACCTTTATTTTTAAATATTTAATTTTTCCTTTTTTTTTTTTTTTAATCCCCTAAGGAAACAAATTAGAAGAAGTGAGATGGAGAAAGTATCTTGATGAACCTCTTAATTAATAGAGGGAAATTGGGAGAGGGTAGGGTGTTTGGTTATGGTGCAGAGTTTAATTGTGCAAAGTTCTTCTCTCCTCGCTGGGACCACTGATTCCTGTGCTTCCTGTCTAGAGCCAAGAGATTGTTGGGTATAATGTTGGCTCTTTTTTTCTAAGTTGTCATCTTTTAGTATAGTATCGCAATACTGGTCAGCCTGACAAGTTCAAGTAAATTTCTGCCCATTTGAAAATGCTATTAGAAGCTACTTGGAGTAGATGAATTATTTTCCTATATGTGTTGGAACCAACTTGATGGCACTTAACAACATATATACATACATGTGGGAAACATGGTGGCTCTATAGAATAAGTACTGTATCACATGATCAGTGGTTTCAGCCCACCAGCTGCTCCATGGAGAAAGATGTTGCTTTCTGCAATCTTAAGGATTTAAAGCCTTAGAAACCCTGTACAGGGTTGCTACGAGTTGGAACCAACTCAACAGCACTTATCAACAGTAATATACATACATGTAAGGAACCCTGGTGGTATGGTGGATTAAGCACTGAGCTGTTAATTGCAGAGTCAGCTTTTCAAACCAATGATCTGCTCTCTGGGAAAAGATGAGACAGTCTGTACCTGTATAGATTTACAGTCTCAGATACCCTATGGAACAGTTCTGTGTCCTGAAGGGTCACTATGTTGTTAAGTGCATTGAGTCGGTTCCAACTCATAGCGAACCTGTTTAGGATTTCTGAGGAGCAGCTGGTGGGTTTGAACTGCCAACCTTGCCATGATCTGGCTGTAATCACATGTGTACACATATGCCCCATCCCATCAAGTAATTTTTCTCTTACTCAACCCATGCAGGAAAAATTATCCAGAAGTTAGTTGCCTTTGAAGTGGGTAACGCACAGCCTAAAAATGTATATTCCTACTAATTGGGAAAGGAGCTCTGGTAGCATAGTGGTTACGAATCGGGCTATGAACCACAAGGTCAGCAGTTCGAAACTACCAGCTGTTTCGTGGGAAAAAGATGAGGCTTTCTGCTCCCATAAAGATTTATAGCTTCGGAAACTGTATACCAGGGTCGCTATGAGTCGGAACCGACTCCACGGCACAAAACCACCAGCACTAATTGGGGATGAATACTTCCTGGTAGCTAATTTAAAAATAGGTTATTAATAGAAAATACTGAGCAGGTCATAGTTTTTTTTATCTAGAGCCAGCCAGGAGGACATACTGTTGAATGCCAGCATATTTTATTTCAACCAATGGATTGTTTCATTTGAGTTGAAACATTCCTTTAAATTATCACTCAATCATAGTGTCTTTCTATCCTTAACATTCAAATGATAATTTAAGTCCTTGCAAGGATATTAGATCATCTAATTCTTTTAAATGTTGTATTTTTTACACATATCTACACATGAAAATAAGGAGCTCTGGTAGCGTAGTGGTTACGAATCGGGCTGCTAACCTTAGGGTCAGCAGTTCGACACTACCAGCTGTTCTGCTGAAGAAAGATGAGGCTTTCTGCTCCCGTAAAGGTTTACAGCCTCGGAAAACCTGTACAGGGTCGCTATGAGTTGGAACTGACTCCACGGCACATAACAACAACACACATGACAATACTGTGAGTAGAGTCGTCTACATATACTCTGGGTACTTATTCTTTTACCTCTCTATATACCATCACCTTTCCATTGCTGTTGTTGATAAGTACTATGGAGTCGGTTCCGACTCATAGCGGCCCTGTACAGGGTTTCCGAGGCTGTAAACCTTTACGGGAGCAGAATGCCTCATCTTTCTCCCGCGGAACTGCTGGTAGTTTCGAACTGCAGACCTTGTGTTTCAGAGCTCGATTTGTAACCACTACGCTGCCAGAGCTCCTTTCTTAGTATGGAAAATCCACAGTGTGCTTTTATGTATTTTTCTAATGAATAGTCCTACTGTCAGCAAAGGACTACAGGTATCTTTTTTTCTAGGATGAATTCAACTGGACCATTTTACCAGAATTGTCCTCTGAAAGATTAGGGACAGGAATAAAAAGAAATCTATTTTATTTCACAGCTTGCTGATCTTCAAGGTTGATACATTTTGTTAACATAGAGACTGCCTGATGACTCTATATGGCCTAAATTGCTTTCCTGGCTTGAGATCATATATTCAACTGTGGATTGATGTTTTTGTGTGGGAATTGGCCTTTTGCTGTTTGTTTTGAATCAGAAGTGCTGAAACTGATTTCTTTTGAAGTTCTTGTCTAGGTATAAGTAGGTATAGAAGATTTCAGATCCCAGGCTTTAATGTTCAGAGCTTTTCTTCAAAACCAAGCGTAATCACTGGAAAATAAATATTCAAATTGAAGTGTAGTTTGCTCCAGTATTCTTATAAGTATCGTGATGAGTTACTGGTTGAGATAGGATCAGAACTCCTGTCTTCTAAATCGTAGTTTAGAACTCTTTGAACTTTACTTGGTTACCTCATCCAATAAGGACTTATTCCATGGACTTTTGGGTTCTACCTTGAGAACTCTCATGGAGCAGAGTCTTGGATATTCAGTTTTCAAAAGTTTTGTAGCTTTGTAATTGTAGTCTTGTCATACAGAATTCTGTCATACAGAATCAACATTATGGGTAAGTAGCCTGTTGTGTTACATATTTTCATGTTCATTTTTTAAAAAAGAACATATTGTGTCTATAAAGATAACTGCTAATGTACAAACGGGGAAAAATTTTAAAAACTAGTTTTAGTTCGACTTCAAATGGATGATTGAGAACATTTGAAAACACTGATTTAGGGGTTTTAGAATATATGAGTTAGATATACAAATATTAAAGTCATAGGTTGGTAGGGAAAGCTCATGCTCCATGTACTGTCTTAGCTCACTGGGAAAGCAGTGGAATAGTAATGAGATTGGCCCCAGTAGTTTGACATAAAGGTTAATGAAGAAAGGAGGTAAACTGCTGTATAAAATTTCTGGTTGTAAGTAGTTATCAGAACATGCATTATATTCTTTATCATTTCTCTTTTTAATATGAGCATTTTACTTCAACCATTACAAATGATTTCTAAATGTAATACTCTGTTATAATCTAAGTGTATTTGCACCCAAGTATATAATTTAATCTTTACTTTCTAATTCAGAAGCATCTT